TATGGGCACACGTACGAACATTGGTGTGAGCAAAATAGTAACCAAGAGCTACGACTTGTTTGCGGGGTTGCCAACTCAACGACGTTTTCACTATATTTAGTGACTATTCCAACCTATCGAGCAAATATTTTTCCAAAAAAGAAACTCGAAACATGACAACAGTGGACTTAATGTGAAGAACGGTCTACTTTCCTGGAACCAAGACGAAAACAAGTCAATATGCTTTTTCTCAATACATTAAAAATAGTGTACAACAAAACTGAGGTTAACATGTTGGCTTGGCTTTTCAGTTTCTCATGTGGCCCTTTGCAAAATGAATCCCCCCCCTCCCCGTTATATACAGTACATTAGCCCCCATCGCTATGACGACAACTTTGCCAGACATTAGAATATGAGTCCATTATCATAGGTATCACTGATAATTGTAATGCCTGCACTGCGATAACGGTGCAGCTCTGCTTACCTTTGGACTTTTGACGTGAGAGTTCATCTGTGTAGGTCAAACTCCGTCCATCCGTAGAGAATGTCTGCCAGTTTAGAACTCGGCGTTTTGAACAGTGTAGATTAAATTAGCACTGGTAGATTACAATTTGTCAAAATGTAGAATGACTTGTTTACATACACATCTTCAGAAATAGACAGCTTACAAAAGTGTTGCTTGGTGGTGTAATTTCAGACTTGATTGGTGGGTAGGCACTCCAGAAGATAAACTATTCATATACAAGCAATTAGAAGATAGATTTTCCATATTTCCCATTAAAAGAACATCTGATCCTACAATCAATTAATTTCTTAAGAGGTTTTCACAGCTTGATTTTATTGTTTTATTAATTGTAATTTATCATCATTGATTGATGTCCAAGGGAAAATCGCATTAGTGTTGAATAATACTGCATTTGAGTCAAAATGGTCAAGGAAACTGTAGTCATCAATTAAATCAGTGCAATTTTTTTTCCCCCAGTCTCAATTTTTTTTGCCATTAAAAATAAGTGCTCTGTGTCAGAACAAAAATCAGTCTGATGCAAGAAAGGAAAACACAAGTACTGTATGACCAAGGGCCTTGCAATTCAGAGGATATAGAGAACCACAAGAAAGAAACATTCACTTCTTCACCCACCATTATTTCAGTTCTCAAACACACTTGATGAAACCATACATTTATGTAAATCTCTATTTTAATTTGCAAAGGTGCAATTCGTCCTCTGCTGTTGTCTTAAAATTTCGGGATAGTTTCTGAACATTTTATCCTTCCGTGCATATAAGTCAGGGTAAGAAAGAATCACCGTGACTCTTTTCCTGTGCTGGCCAGGATAGATCTGTAATTGAAAATAAATTTACACTGCTTGATTGGCAGATCTTTTTCAGGATTGTTAATCTCCCAAAGCATTGGCCTTAGGAAAATAGCAAGCAGGGTCTCCGGTGCTTTGGGATTAAAAATGTGTCAGGGAGGATTAAGTGGAAACCAAGACGTTATGTAGGGACATGAAACTCCAAATCCCTGCTGCATTAAAAAGGATAAAAGGCAGTGGAAAAAGAAACGGTTTTGTTTTGCTTGTGTAAGCCATTCCTGTAGAAAACTCTGTGGCTGAAATGGAATGGCCGTTTCTCCACGGGCAAGAGAGAGTAGACACATCAGAGACTGGGTATCGATCATGCAAACACTGTGGGCAGTGCTTGTGTCAGCAAGGAAACCATGAGGAATTCCACCTACCCCAGCTGACTTTAGGCGATTGGCACACCTAAACCCTGAAGTGGTCACGTGTCAGTCGCAGGGCACTCTCCTCGTATAAAGAAATTGAAACGTTTATTTGACACGTGGTTGACGGAGCGGGAAAGAAAAACGAAACAAACAAAAAAGATTGAAATGCAAAGTTAGCACACCATGGGCTGTGTAATCATTGTCACACATGAATATTGCTTTGTGAGTTTTTATATGGTCATATGTTTGCGATTCACATGAGTTCTAGGAAGCTGAGCTGACTTCGTCACCAACATGTGTGAGTCAAGGATCACAGTCTTGATGAGGAAAGCACTAAAGTAAATAAATAAACAGAGAGCAACCAGGGGCGTAGCGAACCCAGCCGCTGGGGAGCAGTGCCCTCCCCTTGGGGTACACTGTTCCCCGGTGCCGGTCCCAAGCCCGGAGAAATGGGGAGGGTTGCGTCAGGAAGGGCATCCGGCGTAAAACTTTTGCCAAGACGGACATGCGAGTTGATAGGGCGGTTTGCAGGGACGGATGGGAATTAATGACTCGCTGTGGCGACCCCTGAAAAGGGTTGTGCCGAAAGGAGAAGAAGAAGAAGAACCAGGGGCGTAGCGCTGCGGTCCCCAACCCCTGGGCCACAGACCGGTACCGGTGCGTGGGTCATTTGGTGCCGGGTCGCACAGAAAGAACAAATAACATTACTTGCATTTCATTCATTTTGGAATCTGAAAGATGTTTTGTTTTGAAAAATTACTGGATTCTCTGTTACATCCTGTCACGCTTGACGCAGGTCAAGGCGCGCTTTTTCGGTCATGTCGAGAGGAGCCAGATGAAGTGGCTCGGGCGTCTGATTAGGATGCCTCCTGGACGCCTCCCTGGTGAGGTGTTTCGGGCATGTCCCGCCGGCAGGTGGAGGCAGGGACGACCCAGGACATACTGGAGAGACTATAGGGGTGTTCACACGACAACCTTTACTCCGGTGTAGAACCGGAGCTGCCCCCTTAGAGTGTTCACACGTACAAAGTTATACCGGTGTAGCCCTTGAAAACAGCTAAACCGGAGCAAATTTAACCCTGGTGGTTTAAAAATTTACTCCGGGGTAAATGCTAGTTTGCGGGGCAGCACCGATATAAAATGGGACGTGTGAACGCTACAGGAGTAGACTCGCTACGCGTGAGAAGAGTTGATTACATACAAGTAGAATGCGTTACTTTCGTGCTCTGTTGTACCTCTGTCATCTTTCCTTTCTCTCCCTCATCCTTTTACGGTGTCTGATAGACCACAGCGTTGATTTGTCTGGAGAAGGATAAACCATGTTTTTTTGATATCTCACAAACAAGGCGGGGAAAAGGAAGTACACTTTACGCATGTTTTATTTCCGTATTATTACTTATATTGTATTGCACGGCTGCAGAAACTGCCATGTGAACGCAAGTGGGGCTGCACCGAGGTTAACACGCTTGTCATGAATAAGCAGCTTTTTACGTGTGAACGCTCCACAAAATGTACACCGGTGTTAGATGTATCGCAACAAAATACATCGGTGCAGCGCCGATGCAAATGTGTGCTGCGTGAACACTCCTTATGTCTCCTGTCTGGCCTGGGAACGCCTTAGAATCCCCCGGGAAGAGTTGGAACAGGTGGCTGGGGAGAGGGAAGTCTGGGCTTCCGCGCTGAAGCTGTTGTCCCCGCGACCTGACCTCGGATCAGCGGTAGAAAATGGATGGATGAATAGGCTGGATGTATATTTTGTTGGAAGATGGCTGTATGTATTGTAAAATATATAGGAACTAGGGCTTCGAAATATACTCTCAGAACTCACACTTTCTCGATTCTACTCTTGGATTCTGCTCTGGTTCAAACATGCTGTACCACTGTACTTTCTGGGTCGCATTGTTTCACTCAGGATTCACACACAGCAGTAGTCATGGTAACGGAAAGCTCGGCTTGCTTTCGGACACACTACAGTACTGAGTGGTGGAGTAAAGTAGGCAGTAGCTGATTAATCAGACAGGCCCTTCACAAAACTGGCTGCTCCCGTAAGGGCTGTTTAGAGAGGATGATAAGTGTCCTTGCGTTTGAGATCCTAGGTAGTATCTCAGCAGCCTAAGAGATCATTTCTAGGAAACTGATAAGATGTTGAGATATGTGGAAAGATTCTTTCTCTACCCATGCTCTATGCCTTCACTTATCGTAATTTCTAATCTTGATGACAGAAACATTTTCTGTTCCACTGAGCTGTCAGAAATATCTGAAATAATCTCACACTGGGTTCTTCTATGTCTATTCCTGACAGGACCTCCTTCGGCCCCACAGAATCTAGTCTACAACATCAACCAGACAACGCTTAGTCTGGAGTGGAACCCACCGGCCGACACCGGTGGCCGCAATGATGTCACCTACCGGGTTCGCTGCCAACATTGCAGCTGGGAACCTGAAGAATGTAAACCATGTGGACCTCATGTGGGATACTTCCCCGCACAGTCACAATTAGTGGACACATACGTGAACGTCGTTGACCTCTTGGCCCATGCGAACTACACTTTTGAGGTGGAGGCTGTCAATGGGGTGTCTGATCTAAGCCGCACGCAGAGGCTGTTTGCTACAGTTAGCATCGCTACTGGACAAGCAGGTAAGGACTGACTAATTTATTCAACTCTTATTTGTGTGGGAAAATCAAGTATGAAAACAACAGACCAAGAGTATGCCAATTAAAAACACAAGCCTGCCAAAGTAAATTAACGACTTAAATGTATTTGCATGTGCTAGTGTTAATCAATGAGCTAGTGGAGAGGGATATAGCCGTAATTATTGTCAAGCCTTGATCCTGCAGTAGATGTGAGCGGTATTAACAGATATGACGCGGTTCATTGGTCCACGTCCCTATTGAGTCCCAAGTCGGCTGGAACTTAAGTCCTGCCTGTATTATCCATTCTTTGTTCAGGAATTCTTGCGCATTTATGATACTATCATGAGTAACTGCTTTGTGTATGCTAAAACGTGGTAAATTTTGGAGGGAAATGAGCTGTATGTTTTATTTCTAGTGACTGGTCAGCCGTGCCCCTAAGTTCGGCCTGAAAATGCGCTAAGCTAATACTGTACGTAAAACACTGCTCTGTCATCAGTGGGATACTATTGTCATTGCAAATTTTCTTTACGCTCGATTTCCAGCAGCCATGGTAGGCCTGTTTCAGGCCATCGTGGTCAAAATGAGTTGGATGTGAGACAACACGCAGGAACTGGATGGGCAAATGTCGTGTTTGCCGAAACAGATTTTGAAACTGACGTTAAATTTGCCACAGCTGTCATGGTATGGATGAAAAGCTTCGTTGGACACCTGGTGAAATAGTTTTTCAGCCAAGTACTCCCAAACCGTTTTTGGATGGAAAAAAAAAACGACTACAGAGTGCTGTGCCACTACTGTCTGGTTTATAGAACTTTGGAACATTGTGTGTAGTGGTATCCCTATTTGGAAATAAAATATAACAAAACCAGAAAGATACAATTAATATAATTATAATAAAGATTTGTGCCCATAAAAATAATTTTTGAGGCTTGCAGGGTCACCCATTGCAAACAGGTGCTGATTGAGGGACCAGACAAAGCATGGCTCACCGACCCGTTCTGATGAAATATCATGTTAGACGCAGTTTTCCTTTGCCCGCACAAGGGTCTGGAGGTGCGGCTCCCTGGTGAGCACAAGGTGGACTGGCCTGCATCCAAAGGGGCTGTCCGAGTCCCACTTCCTATGGGCTCACCACCTATGGGATGGGCCAAAGGGGTTGGGTGCCCTGTGAGCTGGGTTGCAGTCAAAGTTGGGGACCTTGACAGTCCGAGCCCCTGCTACAGAAGCTAGCTCATGGCTCCCGACAAGACAAAGTGGGACTCTCCTCCACAAACTGCTAGAGTTCTGGTACCAGTCCTCTCAAGAGGGTTTGGACTCTCTTTCACTCTGGAGTTGCCCACGGGGGGAGGCACAGAGCAGGTGTGGGCAGCTGACAGAAATGGGCTGACCAAGCGGAATGCAGCTTTGGCGGTCACCGAGGCAACAACTGCATGGGAGGAGTTCTGCGAGGCCATTTAAAATGACTTCCGGACAGCTTTGAGAACATTTTGGTCTGCTGGACACCTCCCTGGGGTTCCAGGCATGTCCCAGGGTCAACACAGGACATCATGGAGAGACTACGTCTCCCAACTGGCCTTAGCATGCCTTGGGATCCCCCCCGGAAGAAGTGGCTGGGGTGCGGGAAGTCTGAGCTTCCTTGCTGAAGCTGAAAAAAGAAGTATGGATGGATATTTTTGGGTACATAGCTATGTTTGGTTCCTGCATAGGAAAAATGTGCATGTCCTGGAAGTATAGTGTCTATCCCAGTTGTATTGTAAATGCCAATTGCTGCCAGCTGGTCTGGCGCATGAAGCCAAACAGAATTCAGCTGGCTTGAGCTATGTTTAAGAATCATTTTGAGCAAGTTTGTAATTAGAACCTCTGACTCGACTAAACTTACATTAATCAAACTTTTATGGCTTATCATTCAGAACTGCTTCACCTCCGCATGACATGCCACTGGAGGCACATTACTCGATAGGGATTTCCTTCATTTCTTCTTATCACATGCTCTGAAATGAAATTCAGCTCATACACATGCTGGCAGCGAGAGCCAAGAGGAAAGATAATGTGAATGCAGATGCTGATCAATCTAATGAGGTATTATCATCATGCCTAATTACTTTGGTGGAAATGTGAATTGACATTGTAGCCTGGCTAGGGGGCTGTGTCCTTACCTGTATAGTTCTTGAAAACTTCAAACCTGCCACACAACAAGTGATGCAACCAAAACCAACTGAGCTGTTGAGCAGTGGGCAGGGTTCTGCCACACGTTTTCATGATTATGGTCGACCAAAGCTTTGGCTAAGATTCAAATCTCCATCGGATTTCCTCACAAGATTTCCAGGTTTTATGCGTAAGTGATCTGTTGGAAGTTTATTGCACTGAGGAAAAACCCCCAAATCAGTGGCAATGGCCCTCTTGTGAGGATTCCGAAAAGGTCATAACAGAATGAATTTTGAAGTCAACAAAACCATTAGAATTAGTAATTCGATTGCTGTCTGCTGATGGTTTTTTTTTTTACTTTATTCGACTGCATCTACTTATTCATGTGCACACGTGTGACGTACAGTGAAACTCCTCTACAACGAAATCATGTTTGCAGCAAGAAATTTTTCACAACAGGGGGTTTTTCACCGTAGCAAATTTGATCTCAGATGTAAACACACACACACACACACACAAACGTATGTGTACTCTTTATTTTTATTCCTGAGCTTCCTTGCTGAAACTGAAAAAAGAAGTATGGATGGATATTTTTGGGTACATAGCTATGTTTGGTTCTTGCAGAGGAAAAATGTGCATGTCCTGGAAGTATAGTGTCTATCCCAGTTGTATTGTAAATGCCAATTGCTGCCAGCTGGTCTGGCGCATGAAGCCAAACAGAATTCAGCTGGCTTGAGCTATGTTTAAGAATCATTTTGAGCAAGTTTGTAATTAGAACCTCTGACTCGACTAAACTTACATTAATCAAACTTTTATGGCTTATCATTCAGAACTGCTTCACCTCCGCATGACATGCCACTGGAGGCACATTACTCGATAGGGATTTCCTTCATTTCTTCTTATCACAGGCTCTTAAATGAAATTCAACTCATACACATGCTGGCAGCGAGAGCCGAGAGGAAAGATAATGTGAATGCAGATGCTGATCAATCTAATGAGGTATTATCATCATGCCTAATTACTTTGGTGGAATGTGAATTGACATTGTAGCCTGGCTAGGGGGCTGTGTCCTTACCTGTATCGTTCTCGAAAACTTCAAACCTGCCACACAATAAGTGATGCAACCGAAACCAACTGAGCTGTTGAGCAGTGGGCATGATTATGGTCGACCAAAGCTTTGGCTAAGATTCAAATCTCCATCGGATTTCCTCACAAGATTTCCAGGTTTTATGCGTAAGTGATCTGTTGAAAGTTTAATGCACTGAGCAAAAACCCCCAACTCAGTGGCAATGGCCCTCTTGTGAGGATTCTGAAAAGGTCATAACAGAATGAATTTTGAAGTCAACAAAACCATTCGAATTAGAAATTCGATTGCTGTCTGCTGATGTTTTTTTGTTTGTTTTTTTTTTTTTTTGTTGTTTTTTACTTTATTCGACTGCATCTACTTATTCATGTGCACGCGTGTGGTCAAAGGTTTATTTCACCACAACAAAAATTGCCTTAAAATGCTTCAAACACATCACTGGTCACCAAACCACACATACTGCATTGAAAATGCGCTGGTGGAGTACAGGGAGTTATAGGTGGACCTATTTATTAAATACAACACCCCACTCCCGAGCTCCACTGCCGTGAAGAGTTTCTTTTTTTTTTTTTTTTTTAATAACGGGGAACATAGCGACATCTTCCGGCCAAAGAGGACCGCCCTGGCCAGTGCCAGCTTTGACATGCTGGTCTTCCTCAAGGGGAACATCCCTAGTTTTAGGAGAAGGAACAGCAGGGGGCCGAACAGGAAAAAAAATAAAAATAATAAAAGGAATTTTTTTGCGTTTAAAGTTGTCCACGTTCTTCATAAATTTCACATAAGCCACGTTGTGTGCTAGCCTGTTGTACAGTATTTTATTTTATTTTTTTTACTGCCGGACATAAAATAATGGTTGGTGACTCAAACGGGGATTCGAGTGGGCGTGGAAAAGCAAGTCCAGAATTCGAATATTTGCACTCGGACCAAAATGAATGAATCTTGTCATGCTGTTGCGCGAACTGGCCCTTTAACTGACAGTTCGGCCCCTCCCTCTATGTAAGACATAACTATGTGGGGGAACGAGTGCACGTATGTGTGATGGCAAGCGGTTCGTCAAACTGTTCAGCCAGAAGTGGGTTCACGTAAAGTAAGTGGATGTGAATAGGAAATGACAACAGCTAATGATCTTTAAATAAAGTATTATTCATGAAAGCTCTTCTGGTAGCTTCTCTCCCACAGCGTCATGCACGGACGTGTTTTTTTTTGTTGGGGGGGCGGGGGGGATAAAGCCCTAACTAGACCTTACCAGGGAGGCTGACACACATCAGGCAATCCCATTTCTGAAAAAGAGGGACCACCACCTTGGTCTCCAAATCCACCCTCACTGCCCTTGATGTCCATGCGACGTTGCAGCAGCGTGTCAACCAAGAAAGCCCCACAACTTCTACTCCGAGAGCCCTGACACCGAGGGTATGGCAATGCTATTTAACCAACTTAGTGACCTCAACCCCAGAGATAGCAGAGCCTACATCAGAGCCCCTATCCCTGTCTAGTTCCTCATAGGAAGGCATGTGGATGGAATTCAAGAGGTCTTCAAAGTATTCGCCCAACCAATTCAAAATGTCCCACTTTACACAGTATTGATAGCGTACTACTCCTTTGTCCTGAGATGCCAGCTAATGAACCATAATGTGCTAAAAGTCGTTCAAAGTTGTGCTCTGTGGCCATAAGCCAGTTGGCTGATTTTAGCGGTCTTGGTATTCAGCGAAAGCAAAAAGGTCGAGTGGATCTTTCAGATCAGTATCTTAACCCTTTCACGGCCCCTGTAACCTGATAA